CTCGTCCTGGCTAAAAACCAGATTCTGCGATCCAGGGTCTCTTCCACCTGCCTGGCCATCCTGAAACCTGCTCTTGTAGGCGACGTGAGTCCTTCAGCCCTTTGTTCAGGAAACTTTTTCCACAGGTCTGGGATCCCTGAGGCTTTGGCCGGTGCGCTTGGGGGTTGGTCTGGAAGCTCTCCTGCCGCCTCTAGCCTCTGCCTCTCCTGCCATATCTCCTCCAATCGTTTGCCTACCCTTATCCTCTTCTTCTCAGCAATCTCTCAAGGACGCGCTCTCCCTGCTATAGGGTGGATGTCATTCGGTGGGGCCTCAGGTTGCGCCTCTGTTGGCGGCGGATGAGGTTCTTGCAACGGCTCTCCCCCTAGAACCTCCTCCAGATCAGGGTGCTCGGCAGCATGCGCTGCCAGATACCTGTGCACTGTAGAGACTGCCTCTTTCCTCCAATCTGTCTCTTCCAGCTCTGTCTCCACCCTCACTTCTGGCGACTGAACTGTGTCTGGAGGCAGTGGTGGTGTCTCTCCTCGCTGAGGTTTTCCGCCCCCTTCTTGAACATCCGTTGGCTCAGCCCCCATTTCCGGAGTCGGGGCTGGCTATTGTGGAGGGGTATCCTCATGACCTCCACTGGACTGAGGCACCTCCCACTGCGAGGCGTTCAAGTGTGCTTCCAGGCTCTGTAGTGACCCCCTTGCATGTGCGGCCTCCTCTGATACCTGTTGCGGAGGCTCCTGTAGTCTCCCCTCAGTGAAAGGCTGAAATGCTACTGGGCCCATTCCACACTCCGGGTACATGCCTGGCTCCTGCGCAGGTTGGTCGGGCTCCTCGTCTCTCCGTGCCAGTGCCTTCCGTCTTCCTCGACTAGGGGCGGCCTCCCTAGGCTCAGGGTCTCTGTCTCTTACTTCTTTGCCGCCTCTCAACCCTGGGTTGAGGCTGTATTGGCTCTGGCCTCCGAAAGGCCTCCCTCAAGTGCGCCCTACAACCTTCCCAATCGCGAGCCCTATCCCAGATTTCTCGAGCCAATGGTCTCTCTGCTCCCCTCGTCCATAGTGGCAGCGTTTGCATCCATTGGTCCCTCAGGATGCCCTGCTCGTGCATAAATCGCTCAAAAGTCGGGATAAACTCCTCCACATTCCCAATCTGGAGACGGATCGGCTCCCCGTCTATTCCCATTGGTGAAGGTCTCAGCCTCTGCATTGCCTGCTCCACCTCTTGCCAAGTCCTCGCCTCCTCACGAATCCGCGCAATGGGTTCTGCGAAACGTCCTCTTCCCCTCAACCTCTCAATCATGTGGGTCACAGTCCATCTCCTGCGACTCGCATAACTCTAATAATCGCCTAAGAAGAGCTCTATGTCCCCATCATCATACTCTGGCGCATGCTCCCTCTGGTAAGATCCATGTCGCTCGTGTCCCCCTGATGCCCCCGAAGGTCTCCTCGATGGCCGCATCTCCCTCCCTCCCCTTGGCATGGCTGTCTTCGCAAAGTCAGACCTGCACAACAGGCGAAAGGAGACGATGGGCACACAAAGGGGTAAGCATACAGGTGGGATACAACAAGCTCAGGTCAAACCATACATACACATCCAAACTTTATCTTTGACTCTTCTATCCTATCTGATAACCTTCACATTCTTCCTATTAGCTACATACTACGATGGGGTTTTAGGCTTATTATCTCACCTCTTCTTTGGTTACGAATTTCTAGAGTCAGGTTCCTGACACCCAATCCTTCCACTCTGTCCCATGTAATTCTTCAATCTGGTAAGCGCCAAACTCCCCACATCGTACAATTCGATAGGGCCCCAACCACCTTTTATCGAGCTTCCTGGACCACTGCTTTTCCAGGGATGAGTCGTACAATAACACGACGTCCCCCACCTTCAAAGGTGTTTTCCACACACGCGCCGCTTGGTCCTAACGAGCCTTGTCATCCATACGACTCCTTTCTACTTGACTTGATGCCTCTTGAATCCTTTCTTCAACTGCCCCCACCTGTCGCGCCCGAATGTCAAGCAATTCTTCAAAAGACAGGTTGGTCTCTAGATCCTGGCGCCTCCAGGTTTTAGGAAGCTCTCAATTGGGAACGTAGCATGCCTTCCATACCATAGCGTGGCTGGCGCATACTTAGTGGTCCTCTTCACTGTGATATTCTCGACAAAAAACGCTGCCCTCGGGTACCTTGGCCACTGACTAGGCCTACCTTCAGTCCACTTAGCCAGCAGGTTCGTAATGGTGTTATGCCCTCACTGAACTGGAGCGTTGGCTTGTGGGTGGGCAGCCGTAGTATAATTGGCCACCAACCCATACCCTTCCAAAAACTCCCGTACCTCCTGGCAAGTAAACTGTGATCCCCTGTCCATCACGAATTCCCGGACAAAGGGATACCGTAAGTAGTACTCTTCGATGCAACTCACAAGGATTGGACCAATTTTCGTACAAATGGCCCGCCCATCCACAAAACCAGTGCGGTTATCTCGTGCGTCGAAGATGTAGTTGTAGCCATGGTCCCCGATTGGCATGAATAGCAAATCGAGATGTACTACGGCCCCTACTTCCCTTTCCAGCCTAGGATGCAGTGGCTCTCCCGGCCTTAGACAAGATTGTTCTTGACAAGGTACGCAGGACCGGCATAACTTACCAACCATCTCCATCATCCCATCCCAATAGTATAGCTCACTTATCTTGGCATATGTGGCACTAACTCCTCGGTGTCCTCCCGCAATGCCATCATGAAGCGCAGCTATAACATCAATTTGACGGTTCTTGCCACACACGACCCTCCTGGGGTTTCCCACTTGCCTTCTCACAAAAAGATGACCATCCCTTACTAAATAGTGATGTCTCGTCCTTTGGGCCCCATCGCTTGCATCCCTATCCCGCATTTCGCACAATAGGAGGAGTCCCAGTTCCAGGTAGATTCCATCATACTCCTCTGCGCGGAAGCCTCTTTGATTTCTCCCTCTTCAAACTCGGCATCCTAGCTTTCTGACACACCATCTTCTCCTTCAGCCGGGTTTAACGAGCCTATCAGATCAGAGGGTTCCTGCAGAAGTGCATTGACGAGGAGGTACATTCCTCCAATCAATTCCTCGTGCCTCCTTACCCGGTCTGAACCTCCCTCTATCGTCCTTATCTCCTCCACCAGACTATGACTGCCTGTGAGTGCCAGCTTCATCATCCATTGGACGTCCTTGCCACCCCAAGGGTCCTCCTCTTCAAAAGACTCGAGTACCAATTCAGCCTTCTATTTATACCCCTTTGGCGCACACCAAATGGGATGACCGACGCAACTAGGCACTCACAGAGACCATTCATTAATATGAAGGCGGATGTCTTCCTCCTGGTCCAAAAGCCATCAACTGGGCGCGTACTCTCTATTGCCTCCCCTTCTTGCTCATCCCAGTTGATGCGGCTCAGCCCATCTGCTCTATTCTTACTCCCCGAGATTCACTCCAACTCAAAGTTGAACTTCCAGATGTATGTTAACCACTTGGCGACCGTTGGATCGGATGGGACGTAGTTCCTTGGGGAGAAAGCTCGAGCTGTTGGATCCACCCTCAATATAAACCTTCTGCGAAAGATGTAGTTTCAAAAAATCTGCAGGCAATGAAGGACAGCGGGAGTCTTCCTTTTGAACTGCGAATAATTCCTCTCTGTCGTACACAGAGTCCGACTCTCAAAGCGTAATGGCCTCTCCTTTCCTTCAATATCTGCCTGGATCAGAACTCCACCCAAAGTAGTTGGTCCAGCATCTGTCTCAACAATGAACGACCTCATCTCCGTGGCGTCATAGTCGGGAGCCCCTAACACCAATCCCCCTTTCCGAAATTCTTCCTTCATTCCAGCTACTGCCTTCTCCTGATCTTCACCCCAAACCCATTCCTGATCCTGACGAACCAACTTCCTTAATTGCTCTGTCTCGGTAGCAAAGTTTTTGACGAAGGTCTTCCAAAATCCACATGTGCCGAGGAAGCTCCTGACATATGTTACCGAATGAAATGGTACTGGTCATTCGACAATCTTGTTCGTCTTCTTAACATCTGGTCGTCGGCCACTCTCACTACAGACGAATCCCAATATGGTAGCTTTCCTCATGCAATGCCTGGATTTGGCTCCACTAGCCGTAAGGTTATGTTCTTCAAGCAACTTTAGGACCTTATCAAGGTCCTGAACATGCTTCCAAGCAAAGCGCCTTACTCCTGGTAAGACTTCATCGTCCTCTCTCTTCCCCGGTCCCTTTACTGCCAAGTCATCAATATATGGCTGCGTAATATGTGGGCTAACCGTTTGCATGGCTTGAATCATATGCCTCTGAACCATTGCTACAGCATTCGTCCACCCTTGTGGAGCCACATTCATATGGATAAGCCCTCGAGGAGTATGCATCGCTGTTACTGGCCTGTCTGGCGGATAGACCGGAAACTGTTTGTATCCGGAATAGAGGTCAATGAGTGAGATTATTGGTCTCCCAGCACATGACTCCGACAACGCGTCTGCATTTGGCAAGCCTCCTGCATCCCGCACAATTATAACATTCAGCCTTTGCAGATCCTGCACCCACCTCAACGTCCCATTAGGCTTTATGAAAAAAAACCACGGGAATGCGTAGGGTCCACTCGAATAATCAGCGACGTGCGTGCGTATCTTGCCATCGAGGTAATCCACTACCTTCTTCTCTTCGTCAGGATTAGGATATCGCGCCCCTCTTAAGTTCCATGGCTCATGTGGCACGGTATGGATGCGAATCATAGGATTTTTGTCTACATCCAACCTGTCGCGCTCCTCATCGCTAAATGTATAGGCGCGATGCCTTTTCTTCATCAACTCTATCATTAACGCCCTTTCCCAGGGCCGTAGGAAGTCAGGTTCTCCCACTATCAACTTTCCTTCATTCTCCTCGTTGATATGGCATGGCCCTACTGAGGCATTCTCCTTCATCTGCCGTATCAAAGCTCGCTCTCGTTCGTAGTATACCTCCTCATCTTCGGTAACGAGAACGGGAACTGGGCGGCACTTTTTATCTATTGTTTTGTACCGCCTTTGGGAACCCTACTTGAGCTGTCCCCTAAAAAGGCCGACTGGCCGTCTGTGTCGGTGCCTGCGCCATAGCAAGGCCCCTTCTCCCCCTTGGAGGCCGATAAACCAACTCTATTTCCCCTGCTTGGGGATATTTCAGGACTTGTTCCCTCAACGCCTGAATGGCGTCTGGATCCACCATTTCATGTGTGGCCATTATGTCCATGGCTTTGCTCACATCAGATAAGCTAAGCGAGAACGCTTCTTCCCTCACTTCTCCCTCAGGCTCTGCCATAAGCCTTTGGTGCTCGTCTTCTGACTCCTCAATAGTGAAGGAGCCAGGATTGGGCTTGTTCCTTAAGCTCCGTGGTCCAGTGTTTCGGCAGGTAATTACCTCGTAATTCCCACATGCTGGATCACATAAGATCAGGATCAGCGACCCATCATGTTTGTTGAACATCAGGGTCTCTGTCCTGCATAAGAATGATCTCCCCAGGAGAATGCCATGGTCCACGTTTGGCATTACGAAAAAACAAGTTCTGGCTTTTACTCTTCCGATCTCTAAGAGCACATTCGAGGCGTACCCGCAGAACACAGCCTTGCAGTTTGCCCCGTGCAAAATGCCACAATCCGAATGGTCTATTTCCAACCCATACTTGAGTGCGTCTGCGTCGCGGATGATATTCATCTCTGCCCCCTTATCCACCATCGCTGCGCACTTGGAACCTTTTACCACTAAGTCTACCATACCGCAGGCCACACATTTCCGGTCCATCTTCGTTCCCGGGTCCGCCCACTCCATTTCCTTAGGCAGAATCACACTAAGATGGACACTTGGCACTAGACGCCTCGAAAGCCTACCCTTCAGCTCATTACGGAGTCTTGGGGAGGATGCCAGGATCTCCTTCAGGGTCATAAGATCATTATGGCCCTCAAGCAGCCTGTCGATCACCCTTTCCACATCAAAACCTTCCTCAAGCCGGACCGCGTATTTCTTCTTTTTTAGCGTACTATCGCGCAAGACTGGTTCGGCTTCTTCCTAGAATCCCCTTTTCCGTGCCCTTTGCTCGACCCTCCGGTCTTCCTCCTGTCAGAGCCTCTCATCCTCTTCCTCTTCATCGTCATCGTCCTCTACCTCCACAGGCTCCTTTCTGCGTTCCGGCTCCGGTTCTCTCTAAGGCGGGTCCTGGCTCGCCCCTGCCTTTGCCTGTCCCCTAGTCCGTGCGGCCAACGCGGCTCGTGCCAACGGAGTAGGGGGCCTGTGGGTCATCCCACACCTAGGCCCTGAACTCACCGTCGTAACTCTAGGGTAGCCTTGCCTTCTTGGCATAGATTCAAGACCTGAATCATAAAGGAAGACCTTAGGGATACCAGCCCTCCATCTCTCTACCTCTTCACATATGTCCGTCAGCTTTTGCCGGTACCGACCCATTTTGTCCCACAAATCTTCCATTTTCCCCAAAAGGATAGATACTGGCTCGACCTTTTCACCCTCACTCTCATCGTCTGACTCTATGACTATAGGTTCTTCCTTTATGACCCCCGCTTGTTTGTCTTTGAGTCACCTCCTTATCGCCTTCCACTTCTTCTACTCCTACTGGCAGGTCATCCCTCTCCTGCCATAATCTGAAAGTGGTCGGCGGCGCTTGTCGTGCAGCTACTCTCCTTTGGGCTTCCGCCTTCACTCCACCTGGGACCTTCCTGTCAATGTACTCCCCGAACTGATCGTATATATCCCCATCCATATTTGAATAGATCAGTCTGGTCCTTTCATCCTCCCGCCTTTCATTGCAGAATCGTATAGTATGCCCTTGCTTATCACAATGCTGGCATATGGCGGTTCTCCAATCAAAACGGGGCCTTCCATACCCCTGACCTCCTTGATTCCCTTGGCCTTGGTAGCCCTGGCTATCCCAGCGCCCTCCTCCTCGGCCTCCGCCGTTTCTACCGCGTCCTCTTCCGCCACCTCTCCCTCCATTCCCTTGGTTACCGTGACCCTGGTCCCCTCCTCCTGCCACGCTACCTTGTGAACTCGGCGCGGGTGACGGAGGCGGTACCATGGGTTGGGTCTGTGTCGCAGGGTAACTTGGTGGTGGCATACTCGTTTGGGGCCCTGCGTAAGGTATCATCTGCCCAGATGGGGCCGGGCTTCCCCATGGCACAAAAGTGTTGAACACTGGCCATGGCCATTGCCCGAATGGTGGTACCGCTGCTTGCGAGGGTCCCGCACTACTTGACGGAGCCGACGCATTTGGGGACGCTACTACCACTGCTTGGGGCGCCTGCCCCGTTCCTGAGCCCTGCCCCCCTTGTGTTAAGTTGCGCTGCTTACGTAGCGCCTTCGAAAGGTGTTGGGGCACCGACTCCTCTTCTTCCCACTCCTCTTGAATGACCTCCTCTAGCGCTTGGTCTTTCCCTTTTCCTTGGATTGTCGTCACTACCTTCTTTTGTATCACCTCGTCCTTTCCATAGCCTAGCTATGCGAGCACGTCGGTGACAATCCTCCTTAACTCCTGGCGTCCCGAAGGCGGTCGCATCCCTTTCCTTCCTCTTCCGCCTTTGCAGGCGCATCTGGTGTTGTTCTACATGGTCCAGACTTCCTTCCTCGACCCCCTTGTCGATAGTGGCCCAGGTGAGCTTTGCACTTCCCCCTTCATGACTTGTCAGCTCTGACGCCTCCGAGGCAGTGAGCAATCCTAGAAAAATAGCACATTGCGCTTCCTCAGAGATCCCAGGGACTTTCCTCGCCTTTTTCTTGAATTCCTGCACAAAGGCTCCAACCGTTGTGAAGTCATCCCTGTTCATGGCCTCCAGGTCTGCAGTGGTTAACAGGCCATCACCCAACCTGTACTTCCTTTACATCCCATCCTTGAATCTAGCCTCGACCAAGTCGTCGATTGTCAGGACCTTTCCGGTACCATCAGCTATGCCTCCCGACATTTTGGCAGAACTTCTTTTCTCAGTTTCCCCTGTTAAGAAGAATAAGGAAAAACTTTCATTCAGCGTCCTGATTCACCATGACACCTATCGAGCTCCCTGAATGCTTATGACTTTCTAACTTAGACAATCAACCAGATCAAGGATATAACTTATTACGCTAATAACAGTTATTTATCGTAGATAGCCTGGCAAGACATTATGTACTCTGTCTTTCCTTATATGCCTATTTTCTCTCTCAATCATATACTCGGATGTCGTTCCACCAGGGACAACGGTAGGCTTCCGTTATCCTCGGTAACGGCGCCACCTGTCGTGCGCATTGGTCCGGCACCACCCAAAGGCAGAGCGGGACCCTCCCGGCCGCGTCACGCAGGAGTTGGTTCTTAATCCTTGTCGCAAATATATATGGAGCTTCCGCAAGCCGCTCCGGCCGAGTGCGCCAGCCATACCTCTCGCGAGCCCCTACGACAGGATAGGGCCTACGCGAGGCACGACTTACCTCCACCTTACGGGAGCTGTCACCTCCCTTCGGTGGGCGTATCCCCGCCGAGCTACAAGTCCATAGTACGAAAGCTGATTAGCTGCAATCGCAGAGGTGGACCAACCGAGGGCGTTTTTCGTTCGTTGTAGCATAGGGGGTACGCGCGGTATTACTCCTCTATCGGACCCGTGCGCGAACCAGCAGCTTGGGGGGCTGAGGTCCCAAGCGCGACTCGTCGTCGGTCGACTAGGACGCATCCCACACGCCACGCGCACACCACTATAAAGAACATAAAAATAAACACACACACACATACACGTACATACATATACATTTACTGAACGACACCGAACAAACAACGCGACAACACTTCTAGTCCCTTAGTAGTCATCCCATAACTTTCTGATGCGAAAATCTGATAGGCGTCACGCGCGAGGCTTAGTATAAAACCGCGCGAACGCAGGGCCTACTCATATCGACTCGCAATGCAAGCGTGCGCAAGCAGTTGCAGTGATGGCGTACTATGTAGTGTCCATAATCAAGCGGTCCCTCGTGGATCCGGGTACCGCTTATGACACTCAAGTGTCAGACTCGAAGTATTGTGAAGGTTCGCCCCTTCACGATATTGCACGGCTGAAGGAATAGTCGTGTGGCCTTCGCGGCACCTCCGGCCTTTTGGCTGAGTGCCCCGGTTGGCAAGGCAAATAGACTCTGGCCGAGGGGTAATCCCTTCTGTGCAGGATGTCCTGGACAAGGACCTCGAATCCAAACCCAGGACCAACGTCCGACTAAGAATTCTCTAAGAAGCATACAACAATATAGAGGGGCCTTCTTCCTTGTCTCAGTCCCAACCCCTAATTAAGCCCTTAAGCGTAGGCCCTCACAGGCCACGTGAGCACCCAACATAGGGACATATATATATGAGTATGTAAGGACGAATAAGTATGCGACGATCACTTCCCACAATCACAGTGGGACTCCTCACAGCCATATGGGTATGTGTAATTGCAGGCAGTCAAATCCAAAGAAATCCGAACCACAACACATACCTGCAATCACATCAAGGAGTCAAACAAAATTCCACGCACTACACGAGGTCAACTCCAACCAATCTCTATACTCATGCCCCTCGCTTTAGCCATGCAAGCCCTAGCCTCCTGTCCAACCAACCATAATTAAATACTCAGTACCTTTGTTAAATGGCCACTCAATAAAAGTCCGGGTGAAACCTTAACAAAACAATAAAATCACCAGGGTTAAAGTCTTTTAGGTTGAGCATTGAGGGTGAATTGGAATTGATTCGTGGACCGACGAATCGGCCACCGACCTGTTAACAGTGATAACAGAAGGCGATCCTTATAGGATCGAGCTGGATCTAGTCCTGATCTCAAATCAAACGTCCAGAAGGACCTGTAACACAAGACAGGTCAATCCCAAACTAAATTTATAAGTCCAAATCGAGAGTAATCCCTATATTACAATTCCACCAAAAGCGATTCTATTTAGCCAATCCTAAGTCTATCCTTAAACCAATGCCTAATGGAAAGGTAGGTCTTTTGGCAGAATCTTCTCTATACAGAGTGAACTGCCAAAATTGCCACCTGTCAAAATATAAGCTAACTCCTCTAAATTAGGAAAATTACGGCAGCGCTTCCCGTAGGAAAAGTGCCTTCACAAATTTATAATAGCCCAAACATGAAAGCAAGAATAATCCCTAACTCTGGAAAGCCAAAATTTGTCTAACTCCCTGAATTAGTAAGAATTTGGGCAGCACTTCCTTTAAAAAGGTAGACTTCCCAGATTTGTACCAAGTCAGATATGAACTCAGAATCGATACATGAGTTCAACTTAAGACAAAATTTGACTAACTCCTTAGACTTGTAGAAATTTTGGCAGCGCTTCCCGTAGAGAAAGTGTTATTCCAAGATTTGTACAAGCTAAGTTCATAATAAATAAGTGACTCTGACTTCTCAAAGTCCAATTTTGTCTAACTCTCTGAATTAGCAGAAATTTGGGCAACACTCCCTTTAGAAAATGAGGTTTTTTAGATTTGACTAAGTCAAAGAGTCAGGACAACTTGATCCTGGAAGGGGCAAAATCTGACTAACTCCTTGTTTTTTTAGAAATTTTGGCAGCGCTTCCCGTAGAGAAAGTGGCGTACCAAAATTTATACAAGACCAAGTATAATAAATGATCCCAGAAAATGCAGAAATCGATCTAAGTAAAAATAAACTTAGTCCAGAAAATGCAGGAATTGAAACTAACTCCTATGGCTCTAGCACGTGGCGAGCAACTAAAACAACTACCTATGAAACTGAAACTCAGACTCAGTAGTAGTCGTACCCAGTCACATGCAGGCCAAACCACAAAAGTAAATACTCTCACTATCCCAAGTTATTTCACATAAGATAGTTCATGAGTCTTCAGATACTTTATCCCTTATACCCTACTTACATATGGCACGGATGCTAGACCATTCGACTTGGAAACAATGTCCAGCGTGCCTTAAGATATACACGAACAGGTTGCACTAGTACTTTTCTCTTTTTTGGGCATTTGACTAGACCATTCGGCTTGGAAACAATGCCTAGCTGCCCTGAACTGTTTAATAT